GTAGGAGAAATGGGTTCACTTGGTTTTTCAACCTCAGCCTTCTGATTGCCCTTTTCCCCTCTGATAAGCTGCTCCGTTGACAACAAAACAGCTGCAGAAGCTTTCACATTATCAGCCTCATCCTTCTGATCGTTCTTTTTCAACTCAGTAGGCTGCTCCCTTGACAACGGATCACCTATAGTTGCTTTCACTGCCTCTATAATGGACTTCACTTGACTACCAATTTCGTCTCTAAAAGCCCGAAATTCGTTCTCCATATTCACAACCCGACTCATTAGCTCATTCTCTCTGGAAGCAGCATCACCCATTGCAACTCTAAATTCTTGCCTAAAGTTGTCAATTCTACCCTCCATGGTAGTAAACCGAGCGTCAATACGCTCACAGAGAAGCAGCTCATCACCGTTGGGTTTTTGCCGTTTCCCATCTCTTTTTTCCCGTTTCCTTGCAGGTGATTTCAAACCTGCATCCTCAGCTGATCTTTTACCCGAACTGCTGGAAACCTACAAATTAATTAAAAAGGGAACCAAATGTACCATTAGCATGCTCCAACTCGTCAAAAGAATCAAATATACTATCAGTCTTACCACTTCTGTTAACAATAACTCCACGTCTCCGCTCCCCCAGCTCAACAAATCCAAACTCCTATCAATAGTTTCGAAAATACCATTTGCATGCTCCAAGAATATTAACTACAAAAAAAAAATACTATAATCAACATGATGATTAATCATTACAAATATGTAGAAAGTAGGGATTAGCAATTATTTACCTCCAAGAACAGCAAGCAACCCGGTATATACTTTCTCCCCTCAGCATTATGGTCGCAGATGCATTTGACCAATTCATTGAAGCAAAACGATGCCCAATTCTTCTTCGGAATATCGGCAACATCGAGGACAGCGTATACCGAAGATAACGAAAAGTCATCTCTTCTAGTTGGTACTAATAGCACCCCCATTACGTACAAAATAAACGTTTGAAGAAATAGATCGCCGCTATCTTTCATCTCCGACAAAGCCTTCCGCATTAAGCTTGTCGAAATCGCCTGTCGGGCACAATCAACTGTCGAATACACTCTAAATGGATTCAATTCCTCGGATCTTCGTCCCACTTCTTCACCATTCAAGATGATATCAGTACCTCCCTCAGGCACGCCCATAATTCGCTCGAAATCTTTGGCCGAAATATGGACTTTCAACCCATAAGCCTGAATTGAGCTTTCTTCCACATTAAAGCTCTTCAAAAGGATCTCCAACAACTCACGTTGGAGCATTCTTCCTTTGACTTCAAGCATACGACCAAAGCCACATCTCTTAATGGCCTCTGATTGACAAGCCTCTAAATTTGAGACTACTGAGAATACTTTCCTAGGAGAACAGCGGGTGCTAAAAATTTCATGACTCTTCGTCTTCATTATAGAACAATTTTAGCAAACTGCAAAATTAAAACAACAAAAAAATTATAAGCATGCCTTGAAACACGAATTATAAGCATGCCGAAGAGTACTAACAAAATACACAAAGCCAGAGTCGTCCACCACTGATCTAAAGAAGCAACTTTCAGTTTTCACACTTAAACACATTCGAGAAAACGTGGTTATGACAAAGTTTCATTCAAGAAAAGGATCATTTAATCATTCGGTAAACACATTCTCCAGGTAATGAGTTCAATCCTGGTTTTCAATATATGGCTTTAATCAATATTGAACAAATACAAGACTATACTAGAGCTAACAAGCACACTTGCCTCGATATCAAGTTCTAACTACCAGAAGAAATGAAAACCCCCTACATCAACACCTGAGTACACTAATTAACCATGAAATCCGCCATTGGCATATATAAATTTCACCCAAAACACCCAGCTTCCATTAAATTTCACCCAAAATGCAAATTCTCACGGCCGTGACATGACCCGTGAGAAGCAAAGAGTAGTTTTCATATCCCAGACAATCTCACGGCTTTGGTTTCAAAAATCACGGCCGTTAAACTAAGCCGTGAAACTAAAAACACCCTGATTTTTCAGTACTTCAAAGCTACTAGAGGAGTCACTTATCAGTACATCAAAGCTACTATTCTAACCTCCCAAAGCTCGATCCACCTATGAAATGATGCATCTGCATTTTTCAGCATTTGAAATACCACATCAGTACCTACCAATCCTAGCCCCATTTTCGCTCAAATGGATGTTTCGAGTGATATGACAAACGTAGCTGTTGCAGTAGCCTTGTCTAATCCGAATGCAGTAAATAGGAAACCAAACAGCTTCTTGCATGCTTAAACAAAAGGTGATCAAGTACATACTTTTGTTTTATAGAAGAGTGGACAGCAAGATCCAGAATATTCAGACACAAGATCATTGTACAGAGAGAAGAAAGGGCATCATCTCTTGACTATTTCAGGTCTCCTACATCTATGCTAATCGGTCAATCTTTATCGATGTACTTCATAATGATTTGGAGATCAGCAAGCAAGCAGATCAGTTGACAAAATATATCCCACACAACTAACCATCGCAAGATATTCGAATTAGCAACCCCCTCCAAAAAATTTAACAATATGAGAAGCAACAAGGACAAACTTTGAGCAATAGCTTAATGACTAGAGACCTCACAGAATTGAGAATGATTCATTTCTCTTGCGTTTCCTCCTCAAGTCACCCTGATTTCATGAACTAATTCTTGACTAACACACTCAATTGCACCTTTCATGCAGCCAAGCAAGACCCTTCAATTAACAGTCCAAAATGTAATCAACAAGCAACGGTAACGACACTACAATACCAACAAGACCAAATCAACTCTTCCAAAATTTTCTCTGCAGACTCAGTTTGAAGGCAAACAACAATCCAACTTGTCTCAAGCCAAACTGAAAAGAATCAAACTTTGAGTATGAACTTTCCTATTCGATTTGCCTCCATAAAACACAAATCAAGTCTCTCCAATCAAAAAGCTAATACTGGCATGCATAAAGGAAGGAACACAATCGCTAGCTAGGTCAGATTGGAGCAACTTTTTTTGAGATCACGCATGGTTGGGAACAATAATACTGGAATGCAAGGTTCACTAGGTGAATCACGCCAAAACCAGCTGTGACCATCTCACGGGTTAATCTCACGCCCGTGAGATTAACAGATGAGCCGTGAGAAGTCCAGCATTTCAATTACACAAACACGGCTCATCTCACGGCCGTGATACTGTCGAACCCAACCCGTGAAAACCCCTGGAACTCCCCCCCTTTTTTTAAAAAATCTAATGGTACATCTCCCGGCCGTGAGATTTTCAGATGTGAGGCGTGTTTTTGAGTTTCAGCTGTGACCATATCACGGGTTAATCTCACGCCCGTGATATTTACAGATGAGCCGTGAGAAGTGCATTTTTACAGATGAATCTCTAATCAGAAAAATAATACTAGAATGCATAAAAGAATGAACTAATGATTAAGCATGAGGAGAAGAAGTCCAAGGTTCACTTGATGAATCACGGCATAACCTATCAATTGCATCACAATCTTGCTCTAATAGTAAACCGAAGTACTAATCACATAAACGTAGACGGAGCCAGCATTCAAACGAAATAAAAAGCTCAAATGAATGCAAAGAATCACATAAGACTAATGCAAAGCTCATGCAAAGAATCACAGAAGACAAATGCTTCGATTACCCTTTTCTAGAATACATCCACACAACAACCATACTACAAATAGTTGCTAGCTTAACCACAATGGGAACATGATTAGGACTCCTCTCCCAGCGCTCACAAAGACAAGATGAATCGCATGCTTGGAATGACGATTATGTAACTCAACAAGGCAATAGCTCTCTCGACACGTGCAACTCACACCGGTTTTCCAAGTGAAATGGAGTTTCACTTGATGAATCTCTAATCAGACAAACAATCTTGAATAACAATTCACGGCTGAAGTTAAAAGGGCAAGATTTCAGTAACTTGCCTGGAATTGAAGACTAAGATTGCAGCTCTATCACAAGAGAAATTGAATTCTGAATCCAACGTGTAGTATCTGAAAGAGTTACCAGATCAAAGTCCCTACACATAATACAAAAAGTGAAAGTGAACTCACGTAAACAGCAAAAATCATAGACATGTTACGATTAAGGTGATGCTAATACTGCAGCTCCTTGTGGCAGTACAAAAGCATCCTAGAAGAAAGAAAGGATTCCTACTGTATTAACCATTACGTACTACGGATGGGGCATTAAGTAATTCAGGCTAGCTTTTTTCCTAGTTCATCTTCCATTATCCGCGAATCCGAGACTAAACACTTCACCTGGGATTTCACTAGCTAAATGAACTTTCCGTGGAGCACTTTTGAACTAGAATCCCCAGAAAATTGACCAAGATCCAACATTTAGATGGCTAGCAATTCTATTGTTCAGAGTCTACAAAGTTTCCAATATCTATTTGATCCTAATTACTGCTCAATATCATCAAGGATCTCTAAATTCAGCACAATAACAATCCATAGTTTGCCCATCGCTTTTCCCCAACTAAAAACAATCAAATCCCTAACCCACCACAGAAATCCAAAAGCCACGCTCAAAAAGTTCAGAAAAGAGAAGAAGAATAGCAAAAACCACCAAACGAATTTTCAAAACCCAGAAAGTCAATCGTCTTTTTTTACCTGAAGAGCGGACAATCGCTCGGTGTAGAACTGCTCGACGGTATCGGAAAGGCAAGTCTCGTTGAACTTGGAGCAGACTTTACCCTCAATCAAGCAGCTCTGAATCTTGTTCCAATTCTTCCCTCCGGTGACCCGCTAATCAACCCCTTCACTATTGACAATGAGACCCACCGCGAAAGAGCACAATCAGTAGAGACCCGCCGCGAACCCAATCTCACCGTTCCCGTCGCCGATGCTCAACCACTTCAATATCGTCAAAGAGACCCACCGCGGAAGAGCATAGTCCACAATCGCGGAAGAGGAAACTTGAAACCCCAAATCTCTTTCTTCTCACAGCGTCGCCGTCGCAATTACCCCTTGATGCAGGCTCTCGACGAGCTCAATCGTTTGCAATCGACGAAGAGATGCTCGCTCTCGTCGTCCCTTGCTCGCCGCCTTCACTGTCGTTGTCGGAATCCGGCTCGCCGCAGTCAAAGAGATGTTGCAATCGACAAGCTTCTTCTACTCGTCGTCACCCGCTGCTCGCCGTCTTCACTCGTCGTCACCCACTGCTCGCCGTCTTCACTGTCGCCGTCTTCACTGCTCGCTAGCTGCGTGGAGAGGATCGAAGGAAGAGGATAGAAGGAAGAATGGTTTCGGCGGTGAGAAGAGGTGAGAAGAATGGTTTCGGCCGTGAGAAGAGGTGTGAACCCAAATAATTTCAAGCAACCGGTTGTACCGGTTGTCCCAAACAAATAAAATAATATATTAATAATTTAAATAAAATCTAATGGTTGATAAAGGTTGAACATGATCTAATGGCTGTAAATGTTTTATAGCACCAATACTATAAAGCACACTAAAATGCCTCCTCCAGAATAGCACATCCCCTTCGCTAGAAAGAGGGTCCAGCAGGACTGCTCGCAGTTTGTAGATGATTCCCACGGGAAGAAACATTTGGACCTCGTCAAATTTCCAGCCAATTTGATCCTCCCAATACTCAGCAACAAACTTGTCTCTAAGTTCCACCGGCACCTCAGTCATAGTCACAGCCTCCAATGGTTCCTGCAAAAGCCAAACATCCGTCCAGAACTTAGTACCACGACCAGTTTTGACATTATAAGCTATCCCTTTGCGCAAAAGGTTTACAGTTTGGGAGAAATTGTTCCAGGCAAAGGAACTTCCCTTTATTTTGGTGAGCATACTAAGATCCTGTCTATTCCTCCCATACTTGCTCCTCATGACTCTAGCCCAAAGAATCGTATCCCCAGTAGCGAGATTCCACGCCCCTTTGGCCAACATGGCCTGATTAGTGAGTCTGGTTGGCCTAATCCCAACTCCCCCTGCTGGTCTAGGCATCGTCCTTTGATCCCAGGTAATCGGGTGGAACTTCGTCTTTCCATCATCTTCTCCCCAAATGAACTGGCGATTAATTCTGTTAAGAGTTTTGCAAACAGATGCAGGTAATCGCTTGGTAAACATCGGATAAACTAACATAGAAGAGGCAATCGACTTAACTAGGGTAATTCTGGCCGCTAATGAAAGCTGATTCGCCTTTCACTTAGCCAACTTTTGTTGGATCTTTAGAAGCAACTCCTGGTAACGCCCTTTGGTGATCCTCCCATTAATAGCTTTTAGCCCGAGGTATTTGCCCAGATCGTTGGTGAGGGTAATTCCGGCTCTTTGGCTGAGTCTCTGACTGACCTTTTATAAGCTAGGGTTTCTTTTCTCTCTTGAGGGAATTTATGAAGCTAGGGGGTAAAGGGGGAACGGATCAGGTCATGAGTAACCTGTCCACATCAGCATGACATCAGTATCCTCTCTCTTCTGGAAAATCTTTTATCTATTTCTTTTAATCTTTAACGGACGATTATTCTCTCGTTTTAAGTCGAAATTTAATTTTTTGCACTATTAAATCAGATTAAATGTGCTCTTTAAAATGATATCCACTTTGATATATTTTTAGTACAAAAAAAAAATTGAATAATTTTTTACCAATCATTACCATATTGTTTACTACAAGTTACCACAAGTTACCACCCACATACCATAGTGGTAAAGTATGGTAATTTTTTATCTAGTATTTTTTTACTCCAGAAATTTATAGATCCAATAGATCATGATGAACTCGTTCCTTCTGAGCAAACGATTTAAAACGAAGAAGTTATCATATGGTATGTAGTTGGTAAAAAAAAATTCTCGAAATATATTGAAAATTGATCTCATTTTTTAGAGCACAACGAACTCGTTCCATCTGTGTAAAAAAATTGAAATCTGAATTAGAACGAAGAAGATAAGAGCCAATTAAGAAAACTAGGAAAAATAAAATGCATTTAATTAACAACCCTTAGATCTGAATTTTCTGGACTTACTTAGATATAAAGTCAGGGTAAAGGTGTCTTTTTCCAAATACTCAAATAATATAAGACTCACTGCAACCAGTAGGGGTGTGCATTGGGTGGGTCGAGTGGATTTTGACCATAAAATGCACCCACCCGCTTGACAATTTTTAACCCACCACTCACCCACATTTATAGTTTCGGGTTGGGTCGGGTGGGTTTGCGGGTTCACCCACATTACAATGTGCATAGTATAAAGGAGTCAATTTGATATGATCCATTTATATTTTAGAAACCCCTGTGTAATGTCAATATGTAAAATAAAAATTCATTTCAACATCGTTCACCTACCAAATTTGAGATTCACTTCAAGTATAGCAAAATAATCGGTGGAGAGTTATCGGGAGGAAACACGAAGATGGAATAGCAAGAAAAAATGTCGAATTAGTTTTGAAATTGGATAGAAATTCTATTATGGAGTAGTTTTCTACGGATGGATATGATTATCGGGTACCGAAAACTAAGAAAGATAATTCAACGGAGGAAAGAGAGGTGATCTGAGCACAAGAATCAGAGGAAAAATTATAAAGGGAAGAAGAGGGAATTCGAAATTTGGAAGATTGGCTTTGAGATTCCATCTCCAGGAGTAACCCTAGTTTTCGTTAGCGTCTCCACTCTCCACTCTTCAGTGCCAACGACTTTGTTCTTTTTACTGTTGGATTGAGTGGGTCACCCGCGCACCCGCCTACAACCCACTCGCACCAGATAGTTGCCTCCCAGTACAACCCGTCACCCACCCACAAACCAAACCCGCATAACGAGATTCAGGTCAAATGCGAGCGGATCTGCCCGAACCCGCGGGTGACCCGCCCGCATGCCCAGCCCTACCCACAAGTAACAAACTAGGGATACTAGAAACACTCATGTTGGTCCCAACTCCCAACCACAGTTGTTATGGGCGGCATGATTATTAGCCAGGGTCGAGAAGTGGACGGAATCGAACCCGGAGGACTGAAAAGAAAATTGGGTTTCAGATCTAAAAAGAAAAATGGGATAGACCCTTATTTTGTTTGAGGAGTTCGGTTCATGGATCATAATGGTTTAAGGATTGGGTTTGGCTGGGCAAGACGATATGACGAGTTTTAGTGACATGAAGGTTTGGGTTTCGTCAATTTTGGGTTAAATTAAGCTGATTAGGCGGTTCAGTTTGCCACGTCAGCACATAGCGGTCTCCATTAATGAAAGACGAACAAAAACTAACGGATAGTGCCCAAACTTGGATTGTTTTACTATATCTAGTGATCACAAATAGAATTAAATATTTTTAGTGACCAAATATAAACTTTTTAGTAATCCTAGTAACCAACATTGCAAATATATATATCACTAGTCTTTAAAGATTTATAATTTCCAACTTAATATGTGAGATTTACAAGTCCGTGTGGTCCACGGATTTAAATCCTAAATAAAGACCAAATCTGTGAAATTGTTATATTTGACACCCACCAAGAAATAATTAACTTTGCTTAAATTTTTCAAACTTGAATTTTATGTATCAAATCCATGATCCAAATTTCAGAAGTAAAAGACCTCTAGTTATTTTTAAAACATGCACGTGTCACTACAACAAATCTTGGATTTAGAGACGAGGTTAATTGTTTGTAAAAGTCATTTATTTGCTTTTGTACATCTTTGGAAGCAGATAGATTATTTGCATCGGACGCCTTCCTCTCTAATTCATTTTAGAGGCAAATGTAGTAGTAAATAATATTTGCTACTAATTAAGGAATTGGAGGCAAATTTATTTGATGGCAATTCTAATTTTTAGGGCATACTTTGCTTCTATAATACCTAATCATGACATAAATATTTGTCTCTAATAAATGCATCTGGAGTCAAGTAGTTTGGCTGCTATTTTCACTTTTAAACAGCATCCTTCACATACTAAAGAAACGCATATAATTGTTTCAAATAATTCACCGACACATTTCATATTTTCATTATTATAAAAAAAAAATATTATTTCATATAAATAAATCAAATACATTATTTAAGAGCATTATTTTTAAGATGAATACATCAAATTGATAAATACAATATTCTTATCCTAACAATGGATCAGCCTCCATCCCCCGCGTTATCATTGTAACATGCTTTTCCACTGTTGCCTCTGCCACCTGAATTGAGTCGATATTGCTCCTGTTTTATATGTCGCCACCAAGCAACATCGGTTCAACGAACAGATTATTTGAACAACTCAACAACCATAATGTGGAAAAGAAAAGAAAAAACAGTTGATGCCTACAATGGAATCTTAACAATAAATCCTTCTACTAACAAAGCAAACCAAAGATATCTTGATAAATTTATCAATCTCCAAATACAAACGTATGAACGAAAACCTGAACCAAAATGAGCAACAAGATATTATGGCTAGTTTTTCACCATTATAAAAAAAAATTGTGGCTAATTAAATTTCATAATAGTTAACAGTGTTCTGCTTGAACCAGTTGGACAATGGCCTAACATGCTTTTGTTGGATACTATATAGTTGTGGTATTTAAGTAATTTTGTATCTCTTATTAGTTCAGTTGAGTTTACCTAATTCCTAATTCTTTATGCTATATGCTATAACTGAAGTGACATTTATATTTACAACTTTAGATTTGCCTCTATACATATTTGTTAGATACTATATAGCATCAAATAGGATAATTGTCTCTAAAGTTATTTTTATCTAATTTTATATAAATTATAAAATAATTTGATGAAACAGAGACAAATAATTTAACATACTGAAGCAAATAATATATTGGCTACTAAAAATTAGATATAGAGACTAATATAATAATTGTCTTTAATTATTTTTCTCCAAAATCATAGTGTGTTGGGTTTCATGATTCGAGGAATTTTACAATGCTATATAGCATTGGTGTTATAGTTTTTTTGCATTTATGGTACAATATGAAATTGTACCTTTAACGTTATGGTACAACTTCATATTGTACCTATACAATTTGTACAAATTCTTTTATGGTACAACTTGAACTTGTACTTTTATTTGATGGTACAACTTCAAGTTGTAAAATTGAATCATAACATAATGATATAAATTCCTTTATAATACAACCTAAACTTATACATTTAATGTTATGGTACAACTTTAAGTAGAATATTAAAACACTAATGCTATATAGGATAGTAGATTTGCTCTCATCATTCTATATGAACAAACACCTTAAATCTTTGTAAGCACTTGCCAAATATGAAATTCTACTGATATTTCCCATTTTACGAGACTATAATAAAATTAAAAATTCAAATCTCTCATCCAAACATCCACAACAATTTATCCACCCAAAATTCCTCATCAATCCTTGTGGTCGTCAATATAGGTGTCAAAACATGACCCGACCCGAGTAACTCGCCCAACAACTCCCGATCCACGCCCTGCCTGCAACCCGATTGGACTAAAAGTCAAAGACCCGCAACCCGCCCGACCCGCAACCCGATTGACCCGCAACCCGCTTGACCCGTAACCCGACTAACCCGAACCCGATTAACCCAAACCGAACCCGCCCGATTGGCACGAATAATACTACATAATATATTTTTGTGCATAAATATTATATGTAAATAATATATAAAATTTACGTGACTTGCCCTATTATTTTTTCATCTTTCCCACCAAGAACAAAGGTTTACGTTTAATAGTTATAAATATATAAGTAGAAATCCTAGGAGGGTTATCAATTGTATACTTGATCTAATGTTACGTTTAATAGTTATAAATATATAAAAACTATTTACTTTTATAAATAAATCAATATGTAAAAATAGTAAAGTTAATAATTCATTTCATTAAATACGTATATTAAACATTTGGAGTGGTAGGACATATGTTCTTCTCAATAACCAACAATTTCATAATACATAACTATAGTTCATGGTTTAAGATTAGTGTATAGGGTATATGGTAGTGGACTCGTGGTTTAGAGTTTGGAGTCATAGGACATATGTTCTTCTCAATAACCGAATATAATTCATTTAATAGTTATAAATTGTATACTTCATCTAATGTTACATTGAATAGTTATAAATATATAAAACTAATTACTTTTATAAATAAATCAATATGTAAAAATAGTAAAGTTAATAATTCATTTCATTAAATACGGATATTAAACGTTTGGAGTTGTAGGACATATGTTCTTCTCAATAACCAACAATTTCATAATACATAACTATAGTTCATGGGTTAAGGTTAGTGTATAGGGTATACGGTAGTGGACTCGTGGTTTAGAGTTTAGAGTCATAAGACATATGTTCTTCTCAATAACCGAATATAATTCATTTAATAGTTATAAATTATATACTTCATCTAATGTTACGTTTAATAATTATAAATATATAAAACTATATTACTTTTATATATAAATCAATATATAAAAATAGTACAGTTAATAATTCATTTCATTAAATACGGATATTAATTACTTAATGTTGTGATTTAGGATAATGTATGGTTAATGGTTAAGGTTAGTTTTAGGTTTCAGATTTAAAATGGTGTTATAGGGTTAGGGTTTAGGTTTAGGGTTTCTTCATGATTATACTTTGTGATAGATATTTTGGTTTTTATAGTTTATTAATTAATTTGATTTTAACAATTTTCCATCAGTTTTTGTTGGCCGCTCAAAAGTTTGAAGTGGGGTTGCTGAAAGACCTTCAATCCAGGTCGCATAGTGGGAGACACTGTTTCCACCGCAGATATTATTGAATCAACGACTATTATGATATCTTTGTTTTATACGTGGATAGCTGACATGGGTAGGCCGCTCATTTTAGAGAAGGGGAAAATTACCTTAATCGATCACCTCCCAGCCTCCAAATTGAATACCTTAATCGATCACCTTCCAGCCTCCAAATCGTTTTTCGGCAGTGATCTCCAAATATCTCCATCCATCTCCGCCATCAGACCGCCTCCAGCATCTCAAACCGTCTCCATCGTTTTGGTGGCAGTCTCCCAAGATCTCCGTCCATCTCCGCCACCAGACTGTCTCCAGTGGTTCTGTCCCCTCCGCTCCCTTGCCGTCTTCGTCGCCTCTTTATGAATATTGGAATGGGTAGTCTCAAATTTCATTTCCTCCTTCTAATTGAACATGAATGTGATCGCCTACAATGATTTCTCACATCTTTTGATACTCAAATCGGCTTTCAACGTTTGATTCACTATTTACTTGTAATTACGAAACTAGGGTTCTGCTTCGGGTCAATTGGGGGGTTTTGAGCAATCACAAGAATTGAAGTTCTCTTTGTGAAATTAAACTCAGTAGCATCTAACTTTCATGATGCTTGATAGTCTCGTATTGAGGATATGCCAATTAGTGGGTTTGTCGATTCGTCCCCTATTGTCACCGTGCCTCTTCTTCTCAGCCATTTGGCTTCATATGCTCATTCTTCCGCCTGGTCTTTCATTTGTTTGACTTGGTTTCCTATCTATCTGCTCATGTTTTGTGAGGCGCTATTGTTTGTGAGGGTTTTTATTTGCTGAATGCCAATGTTATTACCTTATATGAATGAACCTTGAGCTTATCTGTAGGGGGTTGGTTGCTCTGGTTTTGTTAAATGCAAGGGCAAAAGCTGTTGCATCTGCTAAGCACTAGCACGAAACAATTTTCGTAGTTTCAATATGTTATCATGTTTGTTGCTTCTTGGATGAAACTTTGTAGGATTAGTCCCAAAAATGAGTCCATTCCTTAGATGAAACTTAGTCATGTTATCTTGTTTGTTGTTTCTTGCTTGATTGATTATGTAATTCTTTTCTTTTCGTTATTTTTTAAGAAGCAATGGACGCTAGGGCTAGAAGAAGCCAAATTTGGGAGAATTTCACTCAAGTTGAATCAGAGGAGGAGGTCAAGCTTCAATGCAACCATTGCATGAAGGTTATTGGATGTAATCCTAATAAGAATGGGACAATTTCACTGTGGAGGCATCTTAAGACGTGCACTAAGGGAAATTTTCAAGATTAATGGAGCCTTATGTACTTTATTGTATTTCCTTCATTATATTTGCTTAAATGTTATGTAATGGTCTCAACTCTCAACTATCAAGACTCAAGAGATGGTTTCATAGGTTTATTATCAAGCAAGTTGTCAGCTTTTTAATTTCTTGTTGTTCAACTATCTATTTATGTTGGTTCTGTAACCTTAATGAATCCTCTACAAGGTACCAACAACTAGCAACATCAAACTTATTTATATATATTCAAGCAAAATCTAGTCACTCATTTGTTTAATAATGTATCTTCATGTTTTTTTCATTGCAATATGGTGATCGGTGAGTTTGTTTTAAATTAGTGTAATAACTAATTATAAAAAAAACTCGATGGTTTGGACCGAACAACCTGCAACCCGACCTGTTGTAACCCGCAACCCAATCAACCCGAACCCGATTGATCCGCAACCCGATCAACCCATAATCCGACTGATCCGCAACTCGATCAACCCGAACCCGATCAACCCGCAACCCGATCAACCCGAACCCGTTTGACCCGCAACCCGATTAACCCGCGACCCGAAGGAACCCGCCCCGAACCCGCCCGATTGACATCTATAGTCGTCATCTACTAATAAAAAAAATGAAAGAAAAAGGATAAAAATCCAAAAGATTTTCCAATTTCATTTCGTAATGATTCAAAGAAATTTTATTTGAATGAAGTTATACAACATAGTTTAGTTCTTATTATTATTCTTTTTTCTTCTTTTTCATTTAATGAGAAATTCAAAATTTGGAATTGAACTTATTCTTTAAATTCCTCATATCTTTCATTTAAATTAGGTAAATGCTTTAGGAGGGAAAATATTGTACAGCTGTTGAACACTAATGGTGGCATTTGGCGGTAAACTCCAACCGTAAAAACCGCCAACAACACAATCATCATTTTCCTTTTTCCAAGGAACTGCTACGGCGGTGCTCTCTGTTTTCCCTCATAAACCTTCCTGGTCAGGAGAAAAATTACCCACCAGATACAACTTATCCTCAAACAAACCAAAACCCACTATCCATCAACAGTGGAGCCTCTACTTTTCTCCTCTTCACTCCATCGTCCCACTCCCAGCTCTGCACTCTCTCAAGGAAAATCAAAACTCTAAAAATTCCCTAGCTCTACGAATGGTGATGGCGGTTCAGGCGCCACAAGGCTTCTGGCGCCTCCACTCTCGGAAACCGAATTCCCAACTTCACCCTCCTCAATTCTTGCCTCCGCAGCCGGCGACTTCTTCCCGGAGAAAAGCTCTCGACTTTTCTTGTACGGCCACCGGAAATGATGTAAGCTTTCCACCGCCCCCAATTTCCATCTTTTTTTCCTTTGTTTGTTTCCGTTCCCCATGATAACTGGGTGAAAATTGAGTTCTTTTGAACAGGATTATTATCTTATAGACGCCGAAGAGTCTGCCGGAGATGGGTTCTCTTTCAGCGGAGGGAAGTATTCCGGCGAGCCAAGTCCGTCCGATGAATGGTTCAAACTTGGGAAAATGGTTAAAGCGCATCCAGTGTTTGGTTCTAAGGAGAAAGCTCAGGATCCTATATTTGGGCTCAAGATGGGTTCTGCTTCTCAGACTTCTGATGACCTTTTCAGGTATCACTGATATACTTGTGCTTAAAATCGCTTCAGTTGGTGTTTTTGAGGTCTCAGTGAGCCCAAGGAAATTGAGTAGATGGATTATTTGCAGGAATTACCGATTGAAATTGTGCTGTCTCTCTCTATATATGTGTGATTTTGTGCAATAGATGGTTTTGCGTGGAGAGTGGAAGTGCTGATAGCCCTACTGTTGTTCTGGTTCATGGTTTCCCTTCACAGGTGAGTTCTTCCTTATCAATGCTACCTCTCTGATTTCTGGCAATCAAAGTGACCATTTATGAAGAATATGAACACTTCATTCTTACTTCTGCAGGCATACTCTTACCGCAAAGTGCTTCCTGTGCTCTCCAAAAACTATCATCCCGTTGCTTTTGATTGGCTAGGTAACAATTTTATAAGATTTTCAAACTCTTAGCTGCTTTGCAAAGACTGAAACTACTGACGGCTTCCAACTTTCCTATTTGCAGGATTTGGGTTTTCTGATAAGCCACAACCCAAATATGGATTTGACTACACATTGGATGGTAATTTTGCTCGTCACTTCTCATGACAAAAGGGGATTTGCTGAGTTTTTTTGGGTGATGTGTAGTTGTGTACCATTTGTGATTATGTTATCTGCAGAATATGCCTCTTCGTTGGAGTCCTTGATCAATGAAATCGGTCCTAGTAAGATCTCACTCGTTGCACAGGGCTATTCTGCCCCTGTTGCTGTGAAATATGCGAGCAGTCACCAAGATAAGATTAGTAGCTTGATACTTCTCAATCCTCCTGTAAGAATCAGAACTTCTATGAGTTTTTTAGGTCTGCAATTTTTACTTCTAATTTCGGATGCTGAAGAACTAAGACTACTTTTGCATTATTCTTACCCCAAGCTAACAGCCGCGCACGCAAACCTGCCATCGACATTGTCTATATTCAGCAACTTCTTGCTGGGTGAAATCTTTTCTCAGGTGAGGATAGGCTCTCCTCCAAACACTTCCCTGTTAATGCAAATGCCTGCCATTTAGCTTCTCTGGAAACATCTGTGGCTGAAGGTATGATCAGTGAGGTTAATTAGCGGCATTGGTTTGGAGAATAGGACCCCTTGAGGGCAAGTGACAAGGTGTTGACTAGCAGTGGACCTTACAAAATGAAAGAGGATGATGCAATGGTGTACAGAAGTCCTTATCTCACATCTGGTTCTGCTGGATTTGCACTAAATGCAATTAGTAGAGCCATGAAGAAAGATTTGAAGGTCAGTTCTTCTCTTTAACATTTACCAATCATCTTTTGCTCCTCTGAATGAAAAGGCAACGTGTTCGACTAATGTATGTGCTTCCATGATAGAGATATGTTGAAGAAGCGAAGGAAATGCTCTTGGATAAAAGCTGGGGTGTTCAGACTACAGTTTGTTGGGGGCGTAGAGACCGGTGGTTGAGCTTCGATGGAGTTGAGGAATTGCTCAAGGGTTCGAAAGTCAAGCTCATTGAGCTCCCAATGGTATCCAATTAATAACAGCCCTGCATCTCTTTTTCACTTCCATTTAGAAAGTTTTGATTTGTATGCCTCTCATTCTTCAATGGTTTCTATGTCGTTTGTTCTGTTTGATTATGAAGGCAGGGCATCATGTGCAAGAAGACTCCGGCGACGAACTTGGTGGGATCATCTCTGGAGTAATCAGTGGGAGGATTCGTAACTAATTAGTGAAAACAAATCCAGGACAGCCATTATTTGGATGAAGAAACAATGAATTGTTTGCATTTGATTAACTGTCGAGTTTGTGTACAGATTGCGAGGAGACAGTGTAACTTGGGACCCAAGCAACTAATACTATGGAATTCAGCGATATGTTTTTGGAACAAGATTAGAACTTATGATCAGGAAAAGAGATTAGGATTTCTCCTCCTTCATAGCCTTCTTCACGCTGTACACTAAACTATCATCATCTTCATCATCATCAGAATTTGAATTTGAATCTAACGGTGATAAAGCTCGGAATCTGTTGTGAAATGGGTTGTGTCTGTTGTGACATGGAAACGTCTGGTGCGAACCGAGGAACAGAGCATACCCTTCCAAGCTCCCCACTTCCTCCCAATTACTTCCATTAAGGTTGTCGTTCCCTTTGATTACCAGCTTATACACACAGAACTTTTGTTTCCGACTGTGACATCGTGTGATGAGGAGTTGATCATCAGTATACCATCATTAAGGAGTTGATCATCCAGCGAGAGCGCGATGACTTGGGAAGGGATCTCCGGTGGCCTTGTGACTTCTCTGGGTTGCTTCTCCTCTGAATCTGGTATTTTAATGGTCAAAATAGCATGGACTTCCCCTCTTGAATTCGGCTTGTATTACTGTACAATCCATATATTTGGCCCGGCTTTTAAAATTGTTTTTCGGCTTCAAAATCTGAAGCAGGGTCAAACACCTATAAAAGCTCCGCTTTTGAAAAATCGAAAAGTGCTTTTGTATAACATAAAAGCAGAAAAGTTATTTCTGCGGAAAACTATTTTGAAAATACAAGATTATTCTTACCATATTTTAAATTTATTTCAGAAAATATAATTTTCCTTCATTAATATCATTTTAAAAATAAAATAAATTATAAAATTATATTATTTAATATAAAAGAAATCTAACAAGATCCATTTTGACTACTTTTTATTGTTTAGAATTTTTATTCATATTTTATATTAAAGTCATTTATAATCATTTTACACAACCTCTCATATTAAAAAAACACTTTTAATAGTTTTACGGCCAAACACTCAACTGTTTTTTTAAAAAAATACTTATCTAAAAGTTACAATCAGAAGCTGCTTCTAAAAAAACTACCGCAGGGCCAAACTAAGCTAATATACTATTTCTGAATTTTGCCAAAATGTCTTCCAGATCGTGCTTCTTCTTTGAACGAGGAGGAGGAAGCTGATTTTGGAAATGAAATCCAGGCGGTGGCCTTGGATTATTCTGATAATTCCAAGAGAAGTTGGGATGAATTCTCCAATCGGAGTTATAGGTATCAGTACTATGTACTATATGGATTTACGTTGGGGATTAACCATATGTAATAATCATTCATACATAAATTAATGTAGCATATAAAAAAAATACCCAAAGGCAATCAACCATCAGACTGCTCCCAGCTATTCAAAAAACAAGACATCAGAATGATTCCAGTTCACCCGGAAGGAAGGGCAGAAATGTTCAGACAGCAGTGGGGAAAAAACTATGTTCATAAGTCTGGTTTAGCATTCATAGATACAGAATTCCACATTGAGAGCAATGGAAAATGGTGTGGCTATTTGAAACTCACCCTACTTGACGTAGTAAGGAAGGTTAAGAACATAGAGAAGGAAATAAGCCCAGGTCACCCCTGAAACCCCTCCGAAGAAGAACCCTCCGGTGAATTTCGCCCACCCGTCGGCGGTCTGCAGCTGGTCAGGCTGCTTCTTCCTTCCGGTCAGCGTCAAGCTGGGGGCGGTCGACGGCTCCCCTTCGTTGAAAGAAGCAACTCCATACATGGTCAGGCAGAGGCTGAGGATCACCACCAGACCGGCGGCGGCCAAGGAACCTGCTGCTCCGGCGTACTCTGTGTTCCTGAGTGGGCCGGCCTTCACGAATGGGCCCACGAGGAGGAACCCATGGGCCAGGCCCACTTCGATCCCCCTCAGGAGTGGGCTCACCGCGGTGCGGTATGCGGGGAGGTTGGAGAGGTACCAGGCGATCAGTGGGCTGGACGTGACCGGAGTCTCCAAGCTGCCGATGAAAGGGTCGCCGTTGATTGGCTGCACCACTTGGTATGTTGGCTGCAAAACAAAGTACAATCGATCTTCTTAGGACGCTAATTGCTTTCACAAGCGGATCGAATTATTGGAACAAACTTGTTCTTCGTCGTACTATTTATGCTTTTAACAACAGGTTCTGGAAAAGATATTTACATTCCGAAGAACTCATCTGGTGAAGGATTTGTTACCTTGTCGGCCTGAATTGCCTTGACAGTGAAGGAAGAAGATCTCCTGGAGGTGGGCAAAACTCTGAAGGAAGCGCCGGAAATGCCCTTGGGGACAATCAGACCTTTCCTCACGGAAGAAGTGAAGCTGGACTTGAGCTGGCTAGCCATTGGAGATGCTGTGGCAGCCATAGCAAGAAAGCGAGCGTTTAATGTACAAAGTCAGAGAAATGGGAAGAGGCCGCTGGAAAAGGGTTCGGGATTTGGTTTATTTGTTTGTGTATCTCAGGGAAGAGAATCTATTGCAGGAAAATTTGTGGCTGGGAGAAGGATGAGGTGTCAATAGTTGGACGAGTTTGATTGGGCGGATGCCCTTCGGGATCTTATCCACATAATTAGCTTATCACTCGCAAATATATTTATTTGTTATGAAATTATCTCTCAAATATTGGCCCATTTCAATTTCCGCCACAAAGGCACAAACATACAGTGGAAGTACCACATCCACGATGATTATTGGGGATTTTTCCAATAATAGCACCTTTAAAAAAAAAATTACAAAAATAGCACCCATGTAAAAAAAAAATCCACTAATAGCACCTTATTTTATGGAACGCACCCCTAAGATGCGTTTTAAATGTAAAACGCACCTTACAGATGCGATCTACACGTAAAACGCATCAGAGGGGTGCAATCCACAATATAAAACGCACCAGACTGATGCGATTTGGGGAGGACGCGTTGCGATCCACCAGATCGTCCGATTGACAGCCGATCCAACGGCTAAGCGCACGCCAGCGGAGCGATCCGCGCCTTGGATCCCAGATCGCACGCGGGTAATGCGATCCGCGCCGGTGTCAGTCAAAGCGCATTGGGAGAATGCGATCCGCGCGGGGGGAAGCGGAAAACGCATTGGGAGAATGCGATCCGCGCGGGGCAAAATTACCGCCTCGCCCCTGGAGCCTGCGATCTGAAAAACTATAAATAGCCCCCCTCCCCCTCTCATTTCTTCACACCTTCAACCCATTCTTCCTTCTCTCTCTAAGTTTTATCTCTCTAAACCCTCCCCCTCCCAAAAGCCTAGGAAATAGTGGTCTATTGGTTGCGGCAAAGTCCGATCTGCCATTAGAAAACATTTCTTAGGTTTTTTCCTCAAAACCCGCCGAGCCGAGCCGAAGCTCTGTCCGAATTGCGCCGAAAAAATGGCCGATTGGTGGCAAGGAGAAGGAGTTTTTGTTGATGAATTTCAAGCGGTACGTACTCATTATTCGGGTTTAATTTTTGTTGGTCTTATCTTGCTTTTTAATTAATCTATTTACTAACCTCGTTGTTATTTTCTCGTAGGCTGCGGAGGACGTCGATATTTACAACCAGAGGAAGTTGTACTGAGGTTGGTTGTGCCGGTCCGGTTGAACTTCTTCTTCTTCATATGATTGATGATGACCTTCACCTTGCTCTTGGTACTGAAAATATGAATGAGGATCATGGTAACTTTGGTAGGGATGATCGCCATATAATTCACCTCCACCATGGGTACCAGATGTTTGACCGTGTCCAGAATGACCTCCAACGCCTACGACCGGCTCGGTGTAAACGAACATCTCGGCTTTGGAAAGATTGTTGGACCTCATGAATTCGAGCATGGCGTCTACCTCATCCTGAGTGGTTATGAGATATTCTTCATGCCACAATGACACACTTTCTCTGTTTGGATATCGGTACACCATACGATCAACTTTTCTCGTGCCATCCATGCAAGTAACGTTAGTGCACATTTGATGGAGGTCTTCAAGCAGCGGTCTGGTAGCGACCTTTATCTTCTGAAAATTGCCACCTACGCAGGTGGCACCCTTTCCGGTCTCTTCCGTGTAACCATTCCACCGTAAGCCAAGCGTGAACTTTTGGAATGCCATCTGCGATAAAACCGTAGTTAAGTTAATATCATAAAAATCAAAAATAAAAATTAACAATACAAAGTAATACTAAATCAACTTACGAGTTAACGTTAATCACAATACTACTAAAGAAATATGTAATACTAAATCAACTTACGAGTTAACGTTAATCACAAAACTACTAAAGAAATATGTAATACTAAATCAACTTACGAGTTAACGTTAATCGCAAAACTACTAAAGAAATATAGAGCTACATCAACTTACGAGTTAACGTTAATCGCAAAACTACTAAAGAAATATGTAATACTAAATCAACTTACGAGTTAACGTTAACCGCAAAACTACTAAAGAAATATAGAGCTACAACAGAAAATTGAAAAGGGAAGTGAGAAGGAGAGGTGTGAAGAGAAATGGTTGTCCGGGAGGCCTTTTATAGGCAAAATCTTGATGAAAACCGCACCTTAGAGATGCGATTTTCGTCTGCCATGCAGGCCCATACAGACCCACGTCTGTAACGTCTGCATGCATGTCGGAAATTGATTAACCAAAACCGCACCTTTAAGGTGCGGTTTGCATGTTAAAATCGCATCCTCATAGTGCGATTTTGTCTGGCAGAAACAAATCGCATCCCAGGCATGCGAATTTACTAGGTCTGGCTTTAAATCGCATCTCGGCCATGCGATTTTAGTAGGTCAGACCTAAATCGCATTTCGGCCATGCGATTTTACTAGGTCAGACCAAAAATCGCTTGGCTAAAGTGCGATTTGATTCCAGATTTTTGGAACGCACTTTTAGGGTGCGATCTATTTTTGGAACGCACTTGTAGAGTGCGATTTATATGTAAAACGCATCTACAAGGTGCGTTCTATTAAAAAGGGTGCTATTAGTGGAATTTTTTTTACATGGGTGCTATTTTTGTAATTTTTTTTTAAAGGTACTATTCTGGAAAAATCCCTGATTATTGGTTAACCCGCAGATGATAGCTTATATATCGTTTGGTACCAAATGAATCGAAAATTCATTTTATTGTAAAATGAATTATCTTGTAGAATTCATTGTCAAATGAATTCCTATATTTGGTATGTCATATGTTTAAGTAATTTAGTTAATAAAAAAGAATAATTATGTCATTTTATTATAATTAGTAAATTCTCGTGGAATTCATTTGGAAATTCTATCTCAATTCCTTGGAATTGCTATAACTAGTTCCAATTCTATAGAATTAAAAATTTAGAATTGGAAATGAATTATTTTAAATACCAAACATAAAAATGTTTCTTTTTAAAATGAATTCCTCAAAACTTATGGAATCTATTTATACCAAACGGTATGTTAGTGGTAAGAAAGTTTGCTAGGTCAAGTCTCAAGCGTATGCGCTCTTAATTAACTTATATAGATATAATATGTGTTTCTGCTATGAGAAATTTTACTATGCTATATAGTATTGGTGCTATAGGTTTTTGCCTTTATGGTATAACTTCAAGTTATACGTTTAACGTTATGGTACAACTTTAGATTGTACATATACTCTTTTGTACAAATTCTTTCATTGTACAAATTCTTTCATAACACAAAATCTAATCATTATAAATGTGGGATCTGACATGGAAGTTTATGTCCAATTTTTATTTATTTTTTCATCTCAATTAACAAAGTAATTAAACTCAAATAAAAATTAGGGATGGCAATGGCCGGGTCGGGGACGGATAGTGCATATCTGTTACCCTACCCAAAGTAGTTCGGGTTTTACCCATGCCCATACCCACATGTGAAACGGGTAGAAAATCAAAACCATGCTCATACCCCTTCGGGTTTCGGATATCCACAGTTATCTATGGGTAATAATTTCACTTCATAACTCCAACCAATATGTTAACATTCATATGTATTCCCACATTACGTAAGAGGAAAAGTACGACAATACTTCACCAGAATGAAGAAAATTAATTAAAACAACACAATTTCATGAAAATATTATATTTATATGATAAATATAAAATATGTTGGAGAAAAATAATGATTATTTCTAGACAAAATACATGTGCATGTGTATAATCGGGCGGGTTCGGGTTGGATAGTGAGAAACCCATGCCGTCCCATTACCCGCAATATTCGGGTTCGGGTTTTACCCATACCCACTAAATGTCCTTCGGGTTTTACCCTACCGGATTATACCGAATTCGGGCGGATATCCACGGTTACGGATATTTTTACCATCCCTAATAAAAATGATACTAAAAAACTCTCCAAAAACCACGGTTGCTGAACATCACTAGTCATCATCGATTTGACCAAGAAGTCCAACCCAGCTGCCCCAGCAATCCCTCTGCGCAAACCACTCAGGGCAAACCTCTGCGCAAAAATGCATAACTCGATATTCAATCTTGCTATGGTGCACATAGCATTTTTTTGTGTGCACCAACTCACAACGCTCTCATTGGTCTACATCACCAAAAGCCAAAATGTGTGGTTGATAATTGTTGGCTTGGGAAAGCATTTAATGGGTGGAAAAAATGACTAAGTCAAGCCATACCATCCTCTTACTCTCAATGGTGGATCCCACTAGGCCACCACTTCACTATCTCTTACTCTCTTTCTTTCCCAACAAAAATCAAAACAGAATAATTTTCTCACTCTCATTTTTTCTCTTTCTTTCTCCACTATCTTTTGTTCTTTCAAAGGAAAAAAAATTCTCCCAAAGGAAGAAATTTAAAACATGAGAGATGCTAAAAAACTAGATTTAGGTTTTCAATTTTTTTTATATGCATGTCTTGTTCGTGTTTGTTCATGGATTTGTTTTAGAAGAGATATGGATATTGACACGCCAAAACACAACACCAAACTACGACCAAGTGTAATCGCAGTCCGGGAATGCAATAAAGTGGCAAGTTCTATTATCAACCCGGGGTCTAGATCTACTGCCTACTCCGTGATTATCTATTATCTAGCCAACTAAGTCAAGTGATTGTTGATTTAACTAAAAGCAGAAAGAAAGCAGGAATTGGTTCGGTTTTCTCAAGCAAATAAGAGTCACTCGGGAATGAATCCCCCTAGCTCCTTAGTTAGGTCTCAATTGTAATTACCCTGGGTTGATTTACTGTTGATTAGACTGCGGAAGATCCTACAGTAGCTTGGAATCTCTTAAGTTGACCAAGCCCTCTCAGTCTAACTATCCGGCAGACGACTAGTCTTCACCGGGATAGAAAGCTGAAGCAATAAGCACAGAACTCCACTACTGGAATTGGATTCTAGTACAAAGCAGTAACCTGGCTAACTCTCGTATAGCCAATCCACTACTAACGAATGATGAAGCTCTAACAACCTAATCAGATTCTATCTATCTCAGGTTGCAGCAGAAATCAAGAAAAGCTAATCAGACTTCAATCAATTCAATAAAACATGCATCATTCGATTAAAATCAAGTAGTATAATCATCCCAAGTCATTACAATCAACTCCCTAACACATGGAACTAGGGTTCTTCATACCCAAGTGAGAGAAGGGTTCTACTCCATAGAGAGAGAGAGAGAGGAAAACAGAATACAAAGTAGTCATACTCATATCAATGGGAAGAATCTGCTCTGGGATGATGATTTCCACTCCTATGACGATCTCCAAGCTCGATTTGATGAAACCCAGCTCCAAGATTGCTTCTAGGATGTGTTCTTTGCACTTTCTCTCTCTAGGGCTCTGTTTTTGCTCTCAAAAGTCGATTCTCTCACTTGTGGCCCGAAATTGGGTAAAAACCAGAAAATCCAGATCACACGGGCAGGCCACACGGCCGTGTGGCATACCCAGTTGCCCGTGTGAGGTCAAAACGCGGCGTTTCAAATAATTGCACTTCAGGCTACCTACACGGCCAGGGACACACAGCCGTGTGGCTCACCCAGTCTGCCCGTGTGAAGCCTCGCATAATCCCACACGGCCACATTGCTCCTTCACATGGTCGTGTGGGTTTTATTTGTGCCCGTGTGGCTTCCTCAACGACTCGCCACGCGTCCGATCTTCGTCCAATCGACCCCGAACTCGCTCCCAAACCTTCATTCACGTACTAGGACCTGAAATATCACAAAGAAGCACAACCTAGCGTGAAATCGGTCTAAAACACGAGAATCAACACCTCAAACGACTCAAGAATAGGGATAAAAACATGTGTAATTAACGGTTTATCAAACTCCCCCACACTTAACCGTTTGCTTGTCCCCAAGCAAACCAAGTCAGACACAAGGTAAGCTCACATATTTCAATCATACCAACATTGGGGACAAATCATATAGGCACAGAAACACGTGAATCATACTGGCTTTCAAACATCAACACATGAACAACCTCAATAGCAACCTGGACAACCACCACAGAGAACATTCGAGTGCAGCAAAATTGAGTAAAGGAGGAGTCTAACTTCTGTTCATCACCCAACATAGACTTGACTCAACCACTTACTCTAGACAGTCAACTCATGCATAAAACTCAAGACATCAGAATCAAGACCGAGCCATCTAGGTCCTCACCGGGGTAAAGAGTGTAAAGAACAAGGAAATGAATCGCTCACTCTCGACCAGTGGGGTCAGGACAATTTATTGCGAAAAATGCGCATACTTACTCTCCCAATTCCTAACGTCTCTTCACCATGATGGCAGCCTCTAAATGTTAGAGTTCACCTAAATGGTTGTCATCACTAACTAATCCGGAGGTCTTAGACAGGTTCAAATGACTGGCTAGGGTCTTGGACATGGGGAAAAGGCCTTTTAGTGGTGGAAGTATTCATAGCACAAGGTTCCACAATTCCAAACCCAACAAACTCACAGTCAATCAAACCAGTACTTTCTTTCTTTCTACTATTCTGCATTACTCAAATTCTTCAGAGCACAAAAGCGAAGGAGGTCACATAAATGTTAGTATTTCCAAGCCAGACTGCTAAGAAACACTACTTAATGGGCACTATTCAGATTTTTGGTAGTGGTTCTCTTTTGTTTTCATTTTTTTCTTTGTTTTTCTTTCATTTTTTCCATTTCTTAAGAGAACCACCACCTCTGCACATTTTTCAAGCACATGCCCAGCTTTTTAAGAACTACCTCCAACTCTCACACTATATTTAGCAGAAAAGCAGAGAACATGTAAAAACCACTCTGTGGAACCTTCTAAGAGATGCAAAAGGGTGATTTTTCATTGTAGACTGAAAGAAAGGAGAACACACTGCTTAAAGGGGCTGACTAGGGGGTATGACACACCAGGACAGTCAATTTGGTCGTGGGCTAATCCTATTCCTCCATCATCTTAGCTAATGACAACGTGCATGCTGCATATCATGGAAGAGGGAACTATCGCACAAGAAAGAAACGAGCAGGCTCAAATCTCACATGGCTACCTATATGCTCTATCTCTCATTTTGATTCCCTA